TGGGGCTGCCCTCCGCGAGACGCCCTCTCCCTTTTCTCAGCCACGGACACTGCGGGGTGGACGGCGGGCGGAGCAGGGGCCCCCTGCGGGAGCTGGGGCCTGGGCGGTCGGCGAGGGCCCGGTCCCTCCCTCCCCCGCGGCGCTTCTCAGCTGCTGCTGCCCCTCAGCCGGGAAGCCGCGGCTCCGCGCCTCCTCGCCTCCCCCCTCCCCCAGGCGGGGCTCGGGGGAGCCAGACGGGGTTCCCGGGGCGCCGAGTCGGAGGACAGTGCCGTGTCCGTCGCTTCGTGACCTGCCCCTGGCCTGGGCTAGCTCCCTACCCCGGCACGATGCAGCCTCTTCCCTTCAACCTTGGGGGTGCTTTTCGGCGGGCGAGGCGGGCAGCACCTCCTGCCTCGGGGGTGCCCTTTGGGGGTGAGGAGGCCCGTGCGAGGGGCCTGTGTTCCCACCCATCCTGTCGCCGTGTCCTTTGCCGGCATTAGGACAGAGGCTGCCGTTCCATGCGGACGTGTTGCTGTCCTGTGTGTTGCATCCTGCCCACGTGGTAGGGTGTTCCCTCCCCCCCCTCCATTTTTGCAGCTGGTGGGGAGGGAGGGTAACGGGGTGGTTTTTCCTCTGTGATTTCCTCCTGGTGGCGTGTAAGGTGTTAGGGTCAGTTTTCTTTGCTGAGGCCTACTGTTGGTTAGCTGGAAGAAGCAGGAGTTGTACTCTGACAACGGGGCTTAGTTTCATTGACATCTTGCCTCCTCTCCCTTTGGCTCCTCTAGTTCTTTCTTCTGCTTAATCCTAAAGAGAGAATAAGCTGAAGCTGCTAATGCATTGAGGTGTGTAGTTTTCGCTTCTCCGCTCAACTTTTTGTGTGTATGGTTGGCGAAGGCTTTTCTGTGTTGTGCAATGTAAGTCTCTTGTTCCTTTTTGGATTCCTGAATGAGCTGTGTTAGGCTGGCCAGGGAGTTAGTGGGCATCTTTTTTGTCTTTTAATTTTTTCCCCTTCTACTTTGTTTCCCAGTGAAACAAGTGACTTCCAAGGCAGCACTAGATAGTTTCACTGAGTCACTTATTTCTTGGGAGCTCTTTCATTTACCTTTCCCTCTGTCTTTTGAATACCATTGCTCTCTGTTTTTGGAAACTGGTTTTGAAACGTATTTTGAGTAGTTTTTTCCTTAATGTCTCTTCCAGGTTAAGGTTTCCATCTTTCTGTGTTTTGCCCTATTTTTACTACAGTTTGTCCCCTTAACAGGGAGCAGGCCACAGTAGTTGTGAGAGGAGCCTTTTAATCTACCCAGGCCTTAGAAGATATTTATAGAAAAGTAGTAACTCCTCTCCATTTTTCAGTTTGGGTGGCATATTAGAGATGTGCTTGCATTTTTAAGTTTTCTGTTGTTTTTTGTTTGTTTGTTTGTTTTTAAAGATAAACCTGAGGATTTCTGTTTTCTTTTTGTGTTTTTTGGAGTTGAGGTGAATCTTGTGCTTGGTTTTGTGCTGCTGAAGATACTGGGACTTTGTCATGCCTTTATTAGGTATTTTTTGGATGGGGTCAGGACATGTTTATTTTGGCTCCTTTTGGTTCATTGGTTTGGATGAAATAAAAAGTCTTAATATTTTGAAGTCATTTTTAGATTCTAGAATGGCCAGTATGCTCACTTTTTCTTGGTTTGTTTTTTTGCTTTGTGCATTATCTTTGAATATATATTTTTCCTTTTATCTGGTACAGTTGTTAGTATATTCTCCTATGTAAAATAAAAATGTTTAAATACAGGTTCTATCTGCTTTCAACATGCTAAATATGGGTGGGGCAGTGGAAAATAGAGAATGTTGTGATACATTCTGAGGCATATTTTTTTAGTCAGTCAGCATTTGTGTCCTCCTGCAAAATACTGTGCTCTGTGTAAAGTAGTCTGTATGAAAGAGACACGAGATAAAATATGTGGTCTCTTCAAACTCTTCAGCTTCTGTTGGGGAAACAACACATAATGTCCATTATTCATAATTACCAAGTAAAATCAAACTTATGGGATAACAATGCAACCAAAGTCAAAGGTATAAGTGATATTTGAAAAAGAGGAATTTTCAGAGGGGAAGAGGTATATTCCAGGAGAATAAACTAGTATTTGCAAAGACAGAGAAGTGGTAACTTACAGAGATACCAAGCAGTTTGACTGGCACGGAGAAAGTGTATTGGTGAATAATAATAAATGAGTTTAAGATTGGTATTGGTGGAGGATCTATCAAGGATATAGGGTTTGATTTGATGGGGCGTCACAATGGTTTCTAAAGAATGAGAATAAGATGATGCGTACTGTTTCTGAGGGAGGTTTTTGTATTAGCTGAGTGTCCTGGGGGGAGACTGCCTGGAATGCTCTTGGAGAATTTTAGGAATAAAATGATGAGGGTCTGACATAAGATAGTGATTATGGCTATAAAATAATAGCTAACATTTATTCAGTACTTATAGTATGCCAGGCATTGTTCTAAGTTCTTTACATGTATTTAATTCTTTAAATCTTCATAATAACATCTTCTTACTCCTATGGAGAAACTGGGTGACAGAGAGGTTAAGTGACCTACCCAAACTCCAACAGAGTAAGCAGCAGAGCCAGTCAGGATTTGAACCCAGGCAATCTAGCCTTTGAGCTTATGCATTTAATTGTAAATTATACTGTCCTAAGAAAGTGTATAGAATATATAAGGTGTATGTGTGAGTAAAAATTAATTTGAACTCAGTGATTATTGAATGTAGGCAAAGGTAAGAGAGCAAATAAAACATTAAAAGTTTAAAGCCTAGAATCCTGGGAGGAAAATAGGAAAGTATCACTGTTCAGGAAAATGGGCTAAGATTGGTTATGGGCAACACTAGATTGTGTTCAATCAGTCTTTTAATAGTAGGCTAGCCTCCTGCCACTCCTGATAGCCTTCTCTTCTTGCTGGTTTGGCTCTGGAAATGCAGGCTTAGTTTAGTATTAATCTAAGCAAAACGATTAGAAAAACATCTATTCATCAGGGAAAAAAAAGTATACCAAGTTCCAAAATCACATACAAATAGCATAGGAATTATTTTGGTTGAGCCACACCACTGCTTCCCAGCCTTAGTGAGGATAGTCAAGAACTGACTAGAGTAGAAGTATCTGTATACTTCATTGCTATAGAGATGCAGTGTAGATTGTTCATTGACCAGAGCTAAAGATAGTAAAACGCGTGAGTAGATGAGTGTTGGGAGGTCAGTGGTATAATGGTGAAAGAGTTTGGAACTTTGGGAGACATAGGCTAATAGGTAAAGCATTCTGAGAAGAGCCAGGAGGCACATCAGTGCTACAGAAGCCAAGGATAGGAAGGGCGTTGTGGTTGACTGTATCAAATGTAGTCTCCAAGTTCAGAAACAATGATCATGATGAAAAGACTATTGACCCTCATTCACTGCTGGTGGGAATGTAGACTGGTACAACCATTATGGAAACAGTCTGGCGATTCCTCGAAAGATTAATAATAGAGCTACCGTACGACCCAACAATCCCTCTCTTGGGTATACCCAGAAAACTCGAAAACATATTTTCACAAAGATATATGCACCACTATCTTCATTGCATCATTATTCACGGTGGCCAAGACAGGGAAACAACCAAAGTGTCCTGTGATGGACTGGATAAAGAAGATGTGGTATAGTGGATTACTACTCAGCCATAAGAAAGGATGCCATTTGTAACAACATGGAGGGGCCTTGAGAATATTATGCTAAGTGAAATAAGTCAGTCAGGAAAAGCTATGAACCATATTATTTCACTCATATATGGGATATACAACTGAAACTCGTGGACACAAACAGCATTGTGGTTGCCTGAGGGAAGAGGGTTTCGGGGAGGAGGGTGATGGGGGTCTTAATCTACGGTGATGGGAGAAGATAGGACTTTGGATGGTGGGCACACAGAGCAATATGGAGATCTTGTAACATAGAAGGTCACACCTGAAACCTGTATGTTCATATTAACCATTGTCACTCCAATAAATTTAATAAAGTGTCAAAAAGACTATTGAACTAGGACCAGGAGGTAATTTGTATCCTTAGAATTTTGAAAAGAAGGATAAAAATAGATGCCAGATTTGTTTTCCATAAAAGGATTTGTAGAGACATGGTCTGGTGTGGTAATTTGTAGAATTTTCTCCTATTGCTTCCTCCGGTCTCATTCTTGTCCACATGTCAGAGCTAATCAAATATCAGAAAACTCACCTTTTTTTTTCTTTAAAAAAGAAAACGTGTGTTCTAAAGCCAGTGATTTTTATACTTATCACAGTTCTCTTAAACACTTATTTTTTAGAACAGTTTTATTGAGATACAATTCACATACTATACAGTTTACCCATTTAAAGTATACAATTCATTGGTTTTTAGTATATTTACTAAGTTATGCAACCATTACCAAATCATTTTTAGATATTTCAGTTATTCCAAAAAAGAATGTTTGTACCTATTAGCAGTCACTCCTCTCATTTTCCCCTCCCCCTGAGTCCTAGGCAATCACTAATGTACTTACTATCTCTATAGTTTTGCCTATTTTGGACATTTTGTATAAATGGATTATATAGTATATCGTCTTTTGTCTAGCTTCTTTCCCATAGCATAATGTTTCAAGGGTTATCCATTCTTGTAGTGTGTATCAGTATCATTTTTGTTGGTAAGTAATAGTCCAGTGTATGGCTGGTATACCTTTTATTTATTCATTCATCCAACCTTTGATGGACATTTAGGTTTTTTACTCTTTTTAAAAGCCCTTCCCTATCTTTATCTTAATCCTTATTCTGCAACTCCACCCTTTCCATGGCTTTTCTTTTAGATCATAACCTCAGCTATGCATTCTGCTACGTACTGGAGATACAAAGATGAGTAAGGCATGGCCCTTGAACATTTATATAGCGTGCTTATGGTTTATGTACTTTGTTTTCATTTGTTATCTCATTTGATCCCACAATAGCCCTGATGTAGGCAAAGCATTTTTTTATAGGTTTAAAATTTTTTTAAATATGTTTTTATTGATTTCAGAGAGAGGAAGGGAGAGGGAGAGATAGAAACATCAATGATGAGAGAGTCATTGATTGGCTGCCTCCTGCACGTCGCCTGCTGGGTATTGAGCTGGCAACCAGGGCATGTGCCCTGACCTGGAATCAAACCTCAATCTCCTGGATCATAGGTTGATGCTCAGCCAGTTAGCCATGCTGGCTGGGCGGTAAAGCATTTTTTAAGATAAGCAATTTGAAGTTGAGATTTGGTGACTTGCCAAATATTGCACATTTAAGTCACTGATGGAGCAAATAGATCATCTTAGTCCACGTCCATTGCTATTTCCACTACTCTGTGCTGCTATTTTAACTTAAAGGATCCCCATATGAATTGCTGAAGAATTACAGGGACTGGGAAACCCTCTTAGGGAATCAGTACATTTTAATGTTTAATTTTCAGGACTTAAAATGAGTTTTTTATTTATTATTATTTTTTTATCCTCATCTGAGGATATTTTTCCATTGCTTTTTAGAGAGAGTGGAAAGGGGAGATAG